GATTTCTTCTGGCTCAGTGTGGCCCCGTGAATGGTGTCAGATTCACGGAAACGCTCAGTTTTCGGGCTGACCCTTAGAGGAGAAGAGATAATCCGAAGTGTCTAAGCAGTCTTCCTTCTCAAGCTCTGCCTTCTCCCTTCTCACGTTGAACAAACTGCATCGTGATGCCCCCTAACTAGAATATACCCCGCCAATTTTCGCCGAACTTCTAAAATTCCTTTTTTTAGCGCAACGAGCGGTGGACCCCGCGCCACGCCCTCCTCTCGCAGAGGCACATTGAGCCTTTCTTATGGATTTGTGTTTTATTGCCGCGTCTATTCTTTGTTTGTGGCTTATTTTGCTGTTGTTCACGTTGTTTAAACCGGAACAGGCGAATTTCAGTCAAGAGTTTGATATGTATCGACTGTGAGAAACGCACGGGCGGAAAATCGCGTGAGCGAAGCGTTCGGAAGTCGATGCGTATGATACTCATTTTCGTCGATCCTCCCACTTCACGATTCTCCTACGCGTCGTTCGCTCAGTCGATACATATTTTATTTTATTTCGCCTTTGCGTTTTTTCGCCTAAGCGGACATCTCTGAACAGGGCCTTATACTTAGGCAGTGTTCACAGTTTGCGCCACACGAGGAGGACGCTTGAAACGAACGAATCTGCGCAAATGCGTAAAAGAATTAAATGCGTATCGATCCACAAAATGGGAGGAGCGTCGAATCGCGCATTCGAATCTGCGAATCCTTTTAAAAGAAATGAGTGTCTATCGATCCGAGTCAATCGGAGATCGTCAGCATCGAAACGAAACGGCGGTGCAAAAATCCTCCAGCAACGCTAATACGGCGTGCTCTACAATGTCGACACGCATCTAATCCTTTTCGCATTTGCATTCGCGCGTGCGCAGATTCTTAAGGTTGATATGTATCTGATTCTTTTCGCAAATTTGAATATTCGATGATTTCAAAACTGTGAACAGTGCCTCAGAAAACAGCGAATGAACAAAGGCAAGGTAATGACGAAAAAAGAGAAGCGAATAACGAAGTGAAACAAAGGGTGACACAAGTCCACTATTCGCCTCCCCTACACTGACGAGCGATCAGTGCAATCACACTGATCACAAATTATAACAATGGCTACAGAAAACCCGAAACACAGCCTTCAATTCTCCGCGTCGCCAAGTGAGGGGACGAATCCCCCTAGTCTCGACTAGGGGGATATATCCCCTGCCTGCAGAGACGCAGAGGGTCGACGGCAGTGACCGTCCCGCACGGTTGCGTCATAGGAGCCACCGAAAAACGATGGGTCTTGCGACGAAGTAGGGGATATATCCCCAAGGTTGGGGATATATCCCCAAGGTTGGGGATATATCCCCAAGGTTGGGGACATATCCCCAAGGTTGGGGATCCCTCCCTCACCCAACGAGGGGAGGGATCCCCAAGGTTGGGGATCCCTCCCCTAGTTGGGCCTTGCTGCACCCGGCCTCAGATGTGCCGCTGCTAGCAACGCAGCTCGTCCAAATCGCCAACTAAACTAGTGGGCGGATCGCTTTTGGGGCGGAGTGCTTTCGAAGTCCTGCTCAGCAACCAGCGCACCTTCACCGTGACTGCTTCGAGTGGTGCATATGCTTCCCCGATACGCTTCCTCTTTATCGTAATCGCTGCCTTCTACCGAAAAAGTTCACCTCTGAAACAGTTCACAAAAATTATTTTAATGGCAATACCCTGAACTGAAATTTATTTCTTAAGTTCTCTTCCCATCCCTCAATTCGCTTATTATTGCTCAGCACGGCATACGATAATGCGTCTCGAAAAGTAGTACTTTCAACTGAGCTACCTTCAGTGATGCTGGTGATTTCTGATGGAACTTATTGGTAGCTCCTCTAAAAAAAACCGGTAACAAATTCACATAGATGGAATGGATAAAATACAGTTTTTGATGTCCTACGCATCAGCACATTCTTGTTAGGTTGTCTCATAAATAGTGTCGCTTTTTTTCAACCAAAAATTTTCATCTAAATCCCCATGCTTTTACATCGGTTATATACCATTCGAAAGAGAATTGTCTGCTCTACAAGATGCTATGTTCCTCTTCCACCTCTGTTCAGGGTTTTCAAATTTTAGGCCTGCGAAATGGGAGGTCCAGCCGACAAAAATTGACCAAACCGACAACTAGCTCTAACTTTATCTTCCCTTGGGAGAAATCAATCAATGATGTACCCTCTACTTACTCATGACCTCTTCTGAACATTCCACCCTTAGGTTGCCGAAAAAGCTTTGCCGTGTTTCTTTTCGAATTGGCTGACCGATAAGCCATGGCAATTTTCAAATTGAAATTCTTCCTCTGAAACGCTATTGTTTCATATCAACTGGTGTATCCTTTGTGAAACCGAACTTTCTATCTCCTGCTCCTAATACCCTCCATTTTTTTTTTTTGTTTCTTTGTTGGTTGGGTAATTAGATCGATTTTGGCGTTTTTAGGAATCCAAGGAAGTTTATCAGGAAATGTGACTCGGCGATTCTTACTATTGAAACAAAATTTATGCCCAGAAGGTAAGATGACAAAATCATACCCACTCTACGGCCCGGTCACTCCTAACTTAGTCATGACTTGTTCTTTAAATTCTACTAGTTTTTCAATGTCTCGGCTGTAAAAAAATTTCGACCTAGATCTCAGGTAATGGTGCTCGACCGTCGAGTTCTGGTTGAAAAACCAGGTCTGGAAATGGAATGACGCGACTTGTTGGGAAACCTAATAGTGTAATGTTTAGAAGAGGTCATGCATAAGTAGAGGGTACATCATTGATTGATTTCTCCCAAGGGAAGATAAAGTTAGAGATAGTTGTCGGTTTGGTCAATTTTTGTCGGCTGGACCTCCCATTTCGCAGGCCTAAAATTTGAAAACCCTGGAACATAGGTGGAAGAGAACATAGCATCTTGTAGAGCAGACAATTCTCTTTCGAATGGTATATGAATGTAAAAGCATGGGGATTTAGATGAAAATTTTTTTTGATGAAAAAAGCGACACTATTTATGAGACAACCTAATACTTTAAAATCAGCTACAAGCTAGATTTCCACTGCTAACCTACAGGCCATTATATTGAGTTGCCTAATGATTCCTGTCCTATTCCTGCTCAAATTCAATTCAATCCAATTCTGGAGGGTGTAGAGATGATCTGCATTGTGTTTGGCCCAGTTTCTGCGACAGATCGGGTACTGGGCGCATAGCTGAATTGTACCAGTTAATATTTTGACTAACAATCACTGTTTTTGCTTACGATTAGCAACCTTATTACAGTGCTAAAGAAAAAATATTAAGTAAAATAAGCGTGGCAAACATAAATGACAACAAGCAGAGCGAAAAGTTAGTCGCAAGACAGCTCCTTCGTTCATTGGATGATGTTTCGATTGCCTTTCCTTTAACAACTATGAACCGGTATACAATCGACTTTAGGTTTGCTATACTAAACTGAAGCCAATCGAGCAGCAGTTGAACTGCGCATGTGGCTACGTATTCTGCAAAACGCATCGAAGACCAGAAAAGCACCTTTGCCATGTTGATCACAAGCAATCGGGAAGATACAAAATACACAAGGTCGAATGATTTCGAAGTTTTCCTCGATACCCGTAGAGTCAAAACACTCCATTTTTGAACGGTCATTCGCGAACATTTCAGGAAAATCCGAAGGTTTGCGATGGAGGAATGCGCAAATTAAAGCTTTGAGAGGAATTCAAAACGAAATGATATCACAAAGTAGAATCATCGAACAATTAACCAATTTTTCTCTGCGAAAATTTTCACGCTGCTATTAAGCTATGTTTTACTGGTTTAAATATTTTAAGAAAACACTCCCTCACCGAGAAGATTATAAGTTCAGGAACATGGGCGGTATACCGTAACCTTCCGAGGTAGTGGGGGGTAGGCACTGGGGCGCGCAATATTACGCGTCATCGATATCCCATGCGTGCTCGCTTCCCAGCTCTCGCTTTCTCTGCGCTCTCTGCGCTCTCTCGACGAGGAGAAATGTGTCGAGCAAAGTCGCCAACTATACCACGTAGCGCACGCTGCGCTTCTCCAGTTTTGAATTGCTGCCCTAGAGAGCTGGGGTGCCTCATTGGTTGCTGTTGCTCACCTCCAATACCGTTCCGTGCTGGAGACTTGCAACTGCGCTCCGGCGTCAACGCGGGTTACGGTATGCATCCTGTTTTCGTGAACTTATAATTTTGGCCCTCACCGCACTTGAATTTCTCTCTAAATGGCTCTAAGCCTGTATCAATGAATTTCCCATTAATTATGCGAAATGAAAATGTCTTGATGTGAGAGTCTTCCACGAAAGATGTTGAACTTCATATAGTAGATCTGGAACTCCTTTAGACAATAAACATTCCACACCTGCTGTGTTCTGTTTGTCGTTGCTCATTACAGAACGATTTGCAGTGGTGTTACACATTCGCTACCATTAGAGCATCCATAATGGGCTGTCGACGACTCGGCCTATTGTAACTACAGTTCAGAAGTTACTATAAGCCATTGTGGACACGTGGTGCAGCCCACTCCCACACGAAGAAATCCTTAACTCTGATTTGTTTATCATTTTTTAGGTAACGAAGTCATGAGTAAATCTTTCTTACAAGGGATTCCCCAGCATTAGGTAGTGATAAGGCCACTGCCAAATTATTGGGTAACCAGTTCACTTTCGCACGCAACCGCACTTCTCACATGGTGATCTTCAAAGAAGTTGAACAACCCACAGAATACATAGTAGGTGAATGTATGTCCGTCCCCAGAAGTGAGTGGTAAGGAGCTAATGGAATAAACAAACCGCTAACAAATCTGGGTAGCTTACAGGACTTTGAGCTATCAATGTTTTGCAATGGCATGATTGTGATAACACTCCAGGCTATATAAACACCTACTTAGCACACTTCCGGTTCATTCCACATGGTGCTGCAGTGGCAGCTGGAGGGCAGTGGAGGGAGGGGAAGGGTGTTCGAAGAAGGAAGGCGGAAAACCAATCACCAACAGATCTACTGTGTTACGTATAACTACTACCCTGCGCTCCTGCAATTGCGTACCCCATGCGAGTACAGTACTCCCACGCCTCGTTTGCCTATCGATGGATCTCGTGATGGAAGGAGATGATGCGCATCACGCAAAAAATCCATTTAGCAAAAGCAAGGAACGAACAGTGAACATGAGATTTTCATGCAATCAAGAGGAAATCGTAGAGAACAGTTATTTTTTCCATTGATAGTGCAGTTGGAAATGTTTTGGTCACAGGTACGTGACAAACTGCTTACCTCTTATGAAGCCGCCGTTTGCCCTAGTGTGATCCACACTCTTATCGTTAGTGAAGCACTCAACAAAATGCTGTAGGCCCCTCAAACGACACAAAATGGATATCACAGTCCAGATAAGTGAGTGCAACCGTAATTTTTAGATTGCGGCGTGGATTTCTACTAGAGCGCGGTCACAATGTCCTTTAAAAAGAGCCGGGGTCTATTCCAGTTAGGGGGGCATCATGATGCAGTTTCTCGGCGATAGTGTGAACTCGAACATTCCAGCTTTTCACGCATGTCAAGTGACTGCCCTCACCCCCACCCCCTAGACTGGCTACACTCCCCCTGGCTCGGAGTTACCCTAGCTTTCTGGAAAACTGCATCATGATGCCCCCCCCCCCCTAACTGGAATAGACCCAAAATCCGATTTTCGTCTGTTCACCAACTTTAAGTTGTGCAGTGCTTAGCAAGTTCAAAATTGAGTAGGCGTAATTTCTTGTAGTCGATCAAGCAAAGTAAGCAGTTTGTTTGGACGTGAGCAGAAATTATAGGCAATTAAGTTGGGAGAAATGGTTATTTCCCAGAACCAAAAAGGTTTGGGAGGATTAAGAGTCTCGAATGATGTTTTCACAGATCTATAATAGCTTGCAGTGGAACAGTGGTGCTCACTGGACGGAGACTTTTGCGACAATCCAGTCATAGGTTCTGGGCTAATCAATGCTACTTCAACCATCCGTTTGGTGGATGCATAGTTTTGGTAACTTTAAACCGGATCAACATTCTCAGAACACGAAGTCAACGTGTAAGGTTCATTGCTCTGATCTATTAATTTTATTAAGAGAATCAATGTTTATTTTGCACTGTGAAAGAAATCGACTAGTATCAACGAATGAAAGAACTAGTAATTCTAGTAAGTCTCAAAGTCTCTATTATCAATAGTCTTTTTCTTCTTCTTATCTTCACCAAAACAATCGGCATTGACAGCAGCCAAAGTCTTAAAGAAGATAATGAAATGAGAACTAGAACAGAAAGACTATGCGAATGGCAGTTCTTCAAATTACCTGGTAATTGGGGTCGTTTGTGGCGACAACTCGATGTTGGGCTGGTCTCTGCACTTTTGGCTTGCCTCCTCCTCCTCCGCCCTAAAGAAAGCTCGATTTGACCTATGTATGTACGTAGCCTTCTGAAGATCCATACATCACGCCACTTGTCGCCATTAGCGACGGTATTCTCCACCCGTACTGCACCCCCCCCAGTGATCGCAGCGCAGGTGACCACAGTCTATTACTCCCCACTACTCCCAGCCGAGACTACTTATAAGAACGCTTCTGCCAGCCAACGCTCTTCCTCTCCCTCCCCCGGAAAGCAGGGTATACATTTCTCCTAATCAGATAAGGCCTCTATGTCAGGTAAGGATTAGAGCGACTTTGCCCCCTCCATCATGCAGACCCAAGCTCATGTACAACCCTATGCTTAAGCATAATGCAGTGCGCAAGCGTGAACCTAAGCCCAAGCCCGATCTTACTCATAGGCTCCCCGACCTGACCTATGAGGACAACTGGATGTCACCCACGGAATGTTGGGTAAAGCTGGCCCCCACAAGTCATTGTATAGGATACATCGCGTTCAAACGCCACTACGAATGTACAAATGGAAGTAGGATCCCAAAAAGAGATTGATCAACGACAAATGCTTTATCCTTTTTATAAAGAAAATCTTCATAGTGCCATCTACGTGACAGCACCAGAAAAGTTTGCCCCGGAAGCATGGTGCTCTGGTCGAGCTTAACGGGGTTGACTGATGTACCTTTACGACGGATTAAAAAGGGCGAGTTCCGAGGGGGTTTGCATCGTAATAACGATGATGGGATGGTGTACCTTTGTTGAACTGCACACGAGGTTGATATTGACAATTTATTGGCTAACGTTTCGGCGAGTTCGCCTTCTTCGAAGCCTTTACCAGATCCACTGGATCAGCCAACGACAAGCACAGTATAGTAAGACTTCGGTGTGACTCGTATTTATTGAATATCGCAGCTTCAGCTGAAAAGCTGTTGCTGTAGGCCCCCCTGAGCTCGACAACGGTGACGGCTGACGTCATATTCTGAAGACGGTGAAGGTAGAGAAGGAGGGCCAGCGTTTACTAATACAGGACATTTAAGGAATATGTTGCTAAGGAGCTTCTGTTGACGAGGGCAATCTATATGTATATGTTTATTACGCCTTTTCCAATGCAACTACATCCTTTTTCTTTGCTGGACTAAACGCAGTGGCTCCAGATTCAACTAGGGTCGTTCATAGGGTTTATATGGTTGGAAGAAAACCCGCTTATTAGCGTAGAAAGGCCCTTGAAAATTTGGAATGAACACATAAGAGCTAATTTTCAGCGGTTCTGAGTGCGATTGGAGAAGTGTTGAAGAGTGTTGGAGTAGTGAAAGTCAAGAATCTCTGCGAACAGAGCCCGAAATGCGACCTGGGTAAAATGACTTTTTTTGCCCCCCTCCCTGTATAGATATCGGGTTGAATATCGAAAAAAATAATTTGTTCAACAACTACGGTGTTTGTGCAGAGGAGAATAATTTATCATCTTACCAGTTAAGCTGCGCGCATCAAATGGTGGGCTTTAGTGAAACTGGACAACTTGCAGAATATTAGGTCACGTGACTGAGAAACTAACAGTAAGATGTTTTGGAAGATGTGTCACATGATGTTTAAAGGTTGTCCAGTTTCGCTGAAGATTGTCGCGTAATGCGCGCAGTAGCATGCGGAATGAAAATGGTACTTATCATGACTTCGTAAACATTTAGCATTGATATCGAGCTCGGGCGATTTAGCGGTTTATAGAATTTCCACAATTGAAGAATCGGTGTGTAAGTGAAATATAACCAATCAATCAGCATCAACCGAGCTATGATGGAAATTGGAAATATGATTTTATTCGCTATTAGTCCAAGTCCAGATAGTTGAGCAGCTCAACTTTCTTTGCTTCTTTAGATGAAAGGGTAGGAATGGAACATATTCACGTGCTAGGAACCTGGTTTAGTTCAACTGAGTGCACGCTCAATTGTCACAGTTGCCTTTCATACCACTTTCTGTCACCTACATTCAACCCTCGCCACCTTGATCGCTTGCCAGTGATAATTGCAACGAAGTTGGAGAGACCTGCATTCAGAACGCTCTTATCATTCCTTGTCATTTGTTATCAGTTCATACTGTTCGCAATCGGTGTCCCGGTCCCAACCTCCAGGCAACGTGTAGGAGCTAATATTTACTGTCACCACGAAGGCTGCAACGAAATTAGCAGTACTCAAAATCCTAACTTCCT